TGGAGCGTGGGTCGGTGCCCCGCGTTATTGAGGCAATTTCCGCGAAATATTCCTGTGGCTGGTGCGTGTTCACGTGATGGTCGATGCAATTTGGGTCTACTTACAGTGCAATGGGTGGATCTAGAAAGCAAACAGGTCTTCGCCCATGCATACTACTGCGTTCGTAAAATGCCAGCGTACACCTATTTTTCTTTCTCAGCTGCTGTTCCCAGCTTTGAAATTTGTTCAATTTCACCACCGCCAGTTCCAAAATCAAAATTCTGAACTTGACCAGACGTACACTGGACGTACCCCTGGTGTACCGGAGCGTATCCGAGCGTACCGGAACGTACCCCGAGCGTACCCGCTCGCCTCGGCCCGACCAACGGCGGCGGCGGCGGCGGCGGGCGGCGCGCGTGACGCGGCGGCGGCCGGCTCGGCCGACGGGTCCGTTCCCACGCTCGCCGCGGCGCCGGGAATCGATAATGTGCTGATGCCGCCAACGGGCGGCCGGCCCAGCGCCGCCCATCATCGCGTTACCGCCGTGACGGCGGGGCCGCGGCGGCGACGGGCGGCGCTCGGTACCACGTCAGAAGCCCGTCTGCCATCGGACGGCGAGTCCGGGCGCCGTCGGGTCCACCCGCCATCTGACTGGAAGCCGGCTCCATTTGAGCGAGAGTCCGCTCGTCTTTCATCGGAACAGAGCTCGCCTGTCACCAGAACGGAGCCATTATGCCACCGAATCCAGGGCCGACCTACCTTCAGAGTACAATCCGCCCGATCATGAGACCGACGGATGGAGCAGGCCGTCATGGGAACTAACGGCGGGTCCAGTCACCAGGAACCGCTCGGCGGGTCCGCAGTCATGTGACTGAACGGTGGGTCCACCCGCCATTTGGTCGGACAGTGGGTCCGCGGCTGCCGTGGGACCGCGCGGCGGGGCTGCGGCCATGAGACCGCGCGGTTGGTCTGCGGCCATGGGACCGCGCGGTGGGTCTGCGGCCATGGGACCGCATGGTGGGTCTGCGGCCATGGGACCGCGCGGTGGGTCTCCGGCCATGGGACCGCGCGGTGGGTCTCCGGCCATGAGAGCGGGAGACCAGCCAGCCGAACCCACAGCTTTCTAATGCCGCCAGCGGGCGGCCCCGACAGATGTCTCCGACACACGCCCTTCCCGACACGCCAAGGAACTGATCGGTCGGGAGATGGCGGTCAGGGACACGCCCACGCCCGCCCACACGGGTAATTGTACAACACGCATTCGCTCATCGCTCACATGGCTATCTTGAGCCTAATTGGTGCTCCAGGGCTTCGATATTTAGACCCGCGCTCGTCCGTGTAACCAGAACCGCGCGGCCGTAGCTCATCCATGTCGGCGGTTTACTAATGATCCAGAACGGCCCGGTTCCGAGTGATATGATGTCCGGCTCTGGGTGAGCGAGCGGACTTCAAAGGCGGCCTGAAAATTCCGTTCCGCACTGCGAACGTTCTCTGATGGAACCCTGGTCTCCTGCCTCCATGCACAGAGGTTGCGATTGATAGGAAGCTTGTATCGGTTGATGCATGCTCGCGTACCGTACATCGACGTATCACGTGATTATTTCTTCCTGATTCACGGGTGGCTTTGTTGACGTCATAGGAGCATTGAGATGCGGTGCATGGCCTCGCTTCTGATCTGTAAGCTACACAAGAATCGAATCAGTTGCATGCGAAATCCCACGCTGTTTCAGTCCCTTTTTTATGAAAGCTGATGCCGACAAGCAAAGCCTGTCCGACTTATGGCAATCATCTATGGCAATGTCTTGTAATGATGTCACAGGGAAGCGAACTCGACGACCATTGTAAATGATCGGGAATTAGTTAGGAGTTAAAGTGGACACAGCGTTCAAACACGAAAGTGCGGTCAAAGTCGGGCAACAAACGATGGATTTGTCCATGGCCAGGGGCGGCGCCCCGGACTTAAAGTTAGGAAGGGGGCGGGCGGCGCCACGGACTTTAAGTTAGGAAGGGGGTGGGCGGCACCACAAACTTTAAGTTAGGAAGGGGGTGGGCGGCGCCATGGACTTAAGGCTGGGAGGGGGCAAGGTTCTCCAGGGGCCTCCTGAACAAAATGGGGCCTTCTCACTGGAGGCCTCCTGAGTGGTGTCGTATTCAGGGGGAAGGAGCACCGAGTGCATGTCTCCGTACCGAATTCTCACTTGTGTCGTATCAAATAAATGCGTATCGACAGTTCACAAATCCAGAAAGGGACTTCCTGATTATCCAGCCAACGGTCTTGCTGCCATGATACAGGGCCTTCTGTCCCTGAAAATGTCCTCCTGATGCAAAGAGAGGCCTCCTGATCAAGGAAAGGACGCTTCCAATTCACGAGATGGCCTCCAAATCTTGCTAAGGGGCTATCACAAAACCAGTCAACCTCATCCGAACCGCGACCGTCTGATGCATGAAGTAGGCATCCTGTCCCAGAAATGGGCCTCCTGAACACAGAGGGTGCTTCCTAAACCAGAACAGGGGCCTCCTTAACCAAGCATGGGGCGTGCTGATCTGGAGATTAGGCTACCTTATTCATAACGCCCTGTGCAACTAACTGTGCATGCTATGCCTTTGCACATCACACCAGCGGCGTAGTTTCGCGAAATGGGTTAAGGGGAATGGGCCGAAGAGGTAAATTTAACGACGCTTACCCCAATAATTCGCCAACGAAAGGATTCCCCCTGATTTTGGCCACTCTCTTCCAAAAGGTTGGGTGGGAGACATAATGGGAGGTAATTGTACCTTACCTTATTAAGAGATAAGCGTAAAGCCAGACAACCTAGTAGAGGGTTCCGGGTAATACGTGCATGATATATCAAAAGCTCCTCGGGTCTGTCTGACAGCGTCAGCCAGGGGACATGACCTCCGCTGTCTTCGTGAGTGCGGTCTGCTGGCTTCGAGAGCGGTGCCTGCTGCGTGGCTTAGTACACTTAATTTTATAATAGCACCAAAGCAGCAAGAAACAACACCGGCCTGCTAGCGCGTGTAAGTCGTGTCAGCACGGCGGGAGACAACTGGAGTTGTGTGAAAGAGACCTGCGATTTGGCAGAGACGGGCTGGTCGAATGGTCACCACGGTTTTGAATTTGTTAACAGATTAGGGCAAGTATTCACGCGACGTGATCTACACAGAGCATGGCAGGCGTTTTTAGGTCCACACCACACGCATGGCCAGCGAGGTGTCTGTCGGAGGGCGTTCAGTCAACTTTCACACTCATCTCGAATGTTCTCCGTGTGAGCCTGGAACGTTCGGGCGCGAGCGCATTGTTTTCCGAAAACTCAGTGTAGTCTCTAAAACGGTATAAGAATATCACTGATTTGTGGCGTGTTGGCAGGACCATGCCGGAAAATGTACCGAATTGGGAACAAATTGGTTCAAAATTTTGATCTCCAGCTTGCCGTAGGATCCAAATTTAGTCCGAAAAAAGACGCGGTAGAACACACTACGTCGAATGAGGCTTAATTGACAAGAAAGCATTGATAGTGAGCTCAAAAAACAGTTCAAAAACCAAAGTTTTGGGGATTTTTTGCTTTTATTCGGTGGCTTGGGGGTCTCGTGTCAGAAACCATTTGGTTCAAATCTAAAGCTAAAAAGTTTTGCCAAATCTACTTTTGTGGAATTTAGTTTTTATGGCAGTATATTAACGGTCCACGACACTTCAAGCGCGTGGGCTTTGACCCTCAAAATAAATGCCTCCCTGAAACATGATGTACCGATCAGCTGACTAGTCTGGGGTGCTCTGTGGTCCTCTAAAGATAACTTAATGATAAGTTCAATGCACCAAAATGCATCAGAAGGGATACAAACGTATCTTTAGTGGTGCATTTTGGTCAAGCGGTTTTTTGGCTATAAATCTTTAACTATCAACCGCAGAGGGGGTGGGCTCGAGTTAAGAGGAGGCCAATGAATGCAGCTGTCGTGTCCAAGCCCAACATAGCCAAATTTAGGAGATTTTGAACGACAAGGAGATGTTTTGTGAGGGATCATTCTAAACCAGGTAGTGTTTTTTACTTTTCCGTTGTGGATAATTTGGTGTCAAAAGATTCTGATGATGATGAAGTCGCTACTTTTTCAGGAGAATGGAGATATAGTTAGGTTGATATTTCGGCAACATGCCGTCATCGAAACAATAGCAGAGGTCACTCATAGCATAAGTCACTGTTGTTGTTTCGATAAAGGCTTGCTGCCGAAGTATCAACCTAGCTATATCTCCATTCTCCTGGTTTTTCCAACGAATAAGGCTAATACTACTGTCTTATCTATGTGAATAATGTTCCTCGCTAATGCATTGACCTTAAAAAGACTTGTATAGGTCAATGCACTAATGCACTGAGCAGCTTACGCAAGTTGGGGTATTTAGAAAGCACGTTGAGCCCAGCGAGTTTGATTTTTAATATTTGAAAATGTTCTTTTTTGACAAGCTGCTCACAGGGTGTGACGCGTACAGCATGCCAATGCAAGTTGTGACTTTAATGAGCTATGACAAATGAACACGGCATTTGCGCTGTGCTCTTACTAGTGGGTCCGGTTTGCTTCATTACGAAACAGAATAAAAGAGTATAGGGAGAAGATTACAAAAACAGTGCAATCGAAGAAATCGCAGCATAGGGGCGCCACGGTGACGAAAAGAAGATTTTCCAAAAACAAATTATCGTTGGGTTTTCCAAGGGCTTGTTTCAAGGTCAACAGATGGGCACATTTTCCTTTTCTTTCAACTCACCACATCGATAATGCAAGCAATAGAAAAGGGACAAAAAAACCCCCTCCGAAGACGTTTGGTAATACCAATATACTTTTCTAGTCCGACCAACATCGCTACATCATTGACCTATAAAGGTCAATGCGCTACATACGCTCTCAAAATGATGCTAAGAAATTACTGACATTTAGTCGCAACTTGCCAGGCGTTTGTCCCGCGTCCTTGGTGGGAATCAGTGGGAGCGGCGTGGCAACGGGCGGTATTTTACACATTTGCCGGCAGAGTGTGGGAGAGTAGATTGCCGTCCCCGTGCAGGGTAGGCCACTTTGAAGAAGGTAAGAGGCATGGCGCTCACTCAAAAGACGGCCAACAAGATATTTGGAGGATGGCAGAAGGTGTTCTCCCACAAGAGCGCGGAGCTGAAGTGTGAAATGAACGTTGGCGTGTTTTTGCCGGCGCAGAGTGAGGTCGGGAAATGTCCTGTAATTTACTGGCTCTCTGGCCTGACTTGCACAGAGCAGAATTTTGTTACTAAGGCAGGTGCTCAGAGATATGCTGCAGAGAAGGGTGTTATTTTGGTGGCTCCTGATACAAGTCCACGGGGATGCAACATTGAAGGCGAAGATGAGTCTTGGGACTTCGGAACAGGCGCAGGATTTTATGTTGACGCAACTGAAGGAAAATGGAAGGAGAATTATCGCATGTTCTCATATGTCACCAAGGAACTGCGGCAGCTCGTCAATGAAAACTTCCCAACAAATGGGAAGCAGAGCGTCATGGGTCACAGTATGGGTGGGCATGGAGCGTTGATTTGCGCCCTGAAGAACCCTGGCATGTACTCGTTTGTGTCAGCCTTCTCTCCCATCTGCAATCCCAGCCAGTGTCCATGGGGGCAGAAGGCATTTGGTGGATACCTGGGAGAGGACAGAAAGCTCTGGCACGATTATGATGCAACTGAGCTGGTGAAAGACTATGCTGGACCGCCACTGGAGATCCTGATTGATCAGGGCTCAGAAGATGGATTCCTGAAGGATGGGCAGCTCTTGCCCGACAATCTGGTAGCCGCATGCGCCAAGGCCAAAGTGCCGGTTGTGTACCGCCTGCAGCCAGGCTATGACCACAGCTATTACTTCATTGGATCCTTCATTGGAGATCATATTGCAGAGCATGCAAAGGCTCTGCAGTGAGGTGCCATGAAAACAACCATGTCACATTGCTGTTTCATGCCCTAAGGGCTTTTGAGCTATGTTAGCCAGTGCTTGTCAGAGGGAATGTGTTTGGGGCGCTGTACCTGGGGGTTGTTGATATACTAACTGTGATGTGGCACATCACACAGCAGGAGGAATTGTATTCTGATGCTTCTAATAAACTGGGTGGAATACCAATTTTATGATCCGAGCAATGGCTACAATGAGAGAGCAATGAAATATCTCAACTTTCTGGTCTGCAACTGCCTGTAGCAACCAAGTTATTGAACAACAGGCAGCCAGGTTCAAAGATGGTATCCTGCATGATGTACAATATTTGGTTTTCCATTGTCTTTTGGAGGTTATTGATTTCATCCATGTGTTTTTTTTTTAAACATGTCCCCAATATCACTGATATATGTGCACAAACCAAAAATTATCATGCATTACAGCATTTATTTTCTGATCAGGAAGCAGCAATGAACATGCTAATACATGATCACTGCTGGGCATTGCCTTACCAGCTTATTTTCTGAATGAAGTGTACACACTAGATCAAGTCACCCTTATCAAAGGCTAAGCCGCTTTGGCTACTGAGCACCATCTGTTTGAAGTGTGCCCCAATCTCCAGTCACAGCAGTGAAACATGAATGAATTGTGACTGTCTCTGGCCAGGGAAGTGTTTTGGATGACTTTAGAGGCACCTGCTTATGCCTGATGGGTCTCTGTGTATGACCATTTGCTGCCATTTAGTGTCCATTTATTTTCCCTGCTGTGTCAGCAGTGCCAGCTGCTGTCCATGTCAATGTTGCCGACTGCTGCCCATGTAAGCGGTGCCGGCCGCTGCCCATGCCAGCAGTGCTAGCCATTGTTCATGGCAGCGGTGCCAGGTGCTGCCCATGTCAGCCAGCAGCGACGTGCGCGTACTCAAGCCGGGCGTGGGCATCCAATAGCCAAGGAAGTACACCGCCGGGCGGCTGTCCGCCGAAGGCTGCCCCACCGGAGCACCGGCCCCGATGATGGCGCACGGGCACACCGGACTCGAGCGGCCGGTGCTGGGCACGCTGCTCAGGTACGACCCCCCCCCCCCCCACGGGCTCGGAGACCAGAATGGAATGAAAGGGGCTTAAAGATCGGAGCAACGCGACAATGTTTTGGTCGCTTGATTGACGAAATACTATGCTTAAGTGCACGGACGCAGCCTTCGTTTCTATCCTAGCGTAAAAGGAACTGGCGGCCCACACAACAGCCGATGTTTAAAGTGCCCGACAGGGTCCTCGTCTTAATGCACCTGGTTGGTGTCCTCTTCCGCCCGAGTTGCCTCCCAGCCCCCGCAAGACACGCCACAATATGTTTGATGGCGATCTAATTCCTGCAACGCCACCTCCCTGCTCAATGTTCTGGTTAGGGAAGTCTCAGACTTCGCTACCAACCCCGTTGTACCATAATAATCTGACAAGGAGTGGGGAGCGTTTGCCATGACATGCGCCAGCGGGCTTACGAATCATAAACAACGTACATTATAAACACGCGGGCCTCTTTCGAAGCGGGGCGTTACCCGTGTTACAGACCTGGCCATCTGATGGACCTAGTGGCGTGCTTGAGTGACTGCTCCGGGACAAAACGCACCCCACACTCAAATTACTGCGTATATTCCGCACAGCCAGTCCCAACGACACAGTGTAAGCCGTCGGCACACGACACAACGGACGGTCATCGCGTGGCGGACGCGGGACCCGACAGCCACATCAGAGGGACTCTGAGGAGAGAAGGATCCGGCAGACATGTCAGAGCACACTGCGATACACCTCCGAAACTCGCCGCCGACACGGAATGCATCCCCCTGGCCGGGGTTACACGACGCTCGCAGTAGCACGCCACGCGCGCGCCATCTGCTCCGGCGCAGACCACAGGCCTACGCCACCACCACCATCTCCACGTCAAGGCTAGCATGGATCGGCCCGCTCCAGCGACGTCACGTGACCTCAGCACACCGCAACAGCGCACCTCTGAGGGGATCACCGGGGTCACCGGGGTCACGGGCCAGTGGCGTCAGGTCCGGCGGCACCACACGCGGCCACGTCAGGTCAGGTAGCGCCAGGTGACATACATGACTACGAGCGTGGCGAGCATGCCACCAAACAGCACGAACTTGTCCTGGTAGGCGCGCCGTTCTATGAGCCGCATCACTGTGTTGGACATGCCGAGCGTGTTAGCCAGGTCAAGCATGCGGCGGCGGGCGCCCTTCAGCACGCCCCGCTGGTCCCGCAGGTTCGACAGCGCCGAGTTGCCGATGTTCAGCAGATCGTCCAAGCCGCGGTGTGAGTTCTGCCGGCGCGGGACACACCGCCGGTTAGGGACACACCGCTGGGTCGAGGTGCGCGCTGCCCAGCACATTACAGGCTATTCGGACAACTACCGACAATAATTACGAAACGAACACAGTGTGTGGCGACTGACTATTTATAATTTGAATCGCACAAACGGGACTATTACGATGCGCACATGCATGCGCACAGGTCGACAACTTTCAGTGAAAATGACCAACCTCATAGGAAATCATCCCTACAGTTCCATAAACTGCCACATACCTGCAACCCTCTCTTTCCTTCACCTTGTGGTACTGAAGGCACACATCGCCTCCATATGCAGCTAGTGTGAGTCGGCACAGTTACGGCTGCTTTTAGCAGCGCTATTGCGCATTCGGCGCCCTGTTTCACACTGCCCTGTAGGCAAGGTGGGGGGACAGGAGTGCCGGGCGCGTGCCAGCCGCCCACCTGGAGCCGGTCGTTCATCTGGAGTGCCGCGTCGATGGCGATACTCGTGTCGCTCTGGTCGTTGGTGGTGAAGCGCTGCGATAGCAGCTGCTCACGCTCCAACCGCTCGCGGTCCCGCGCCATACGGCGCTGCTGCAGCGCCCGCAGCGCTGACTGGCGGGCGAGAAACGAACTTAAGTTTCCCAGTCAGCCGCCCGCAACCGTGGCGCTGGTGAGGACAAGGATCAGGATGGAGTGCGCAACAGAATGCAAGGCCGGAGATTTTGAGATGTAGTGATGGAGAAAAACAGTTTGGGGAAACTTGACCACCAACCAACAGATGAAAGAAAATAACAATTGTACTGCTTAACCTCTTTCAGTTGCCACATCAGTTATTTTTTATTCTGACCACCTCATAAACACAGTGAAGTGGCATAGTTAAAAGTTAGAATGTTTGGAGGTTAACTAGTAACTGAGTTTTAAGGGTGTGTCAACTGTGTTTTAAGGCTTGTTTATTTCAGATGACAATGAAATTACACTTCAGATAATGTAACCAAGCCCTTGCATCAAACTGAAGACCCAAAATTGTTTAATCCATAACCTACAAAACACAGAACAGAAAAACATGAATGTTCATGTCATGCATGGTAAAGCTGTATCATCCACTACAATTTATGAGAAACACATACCTGAAGATGCTGGACATCATACTTCAACTGGTTTACACGTTGTTTGGCACTGTTTCGCCTCTGCACTGGCTCCTTGTCAGCCAAAATGTCCAGTCGCTTACAATTGCTGAAAGATAAGGTGCCTCTGCAATCAAGTGCCAGTGCAACATCTTTGGACAGCAGGTCTTCTTTTGATTTTCTATTTGCTATTAGAAACATTTGTCATCAGCGAACCAATTTAAATTAAATATTCTAAAGCTGTGAAACCAGAAATCAGCACCCAGTAGTTCTAAACTTAAGAGGATGTATGATAGACTTAAGTCCTTCAGTAAAATCATTCTTGGGCCTGAATGGCATGGAAGGTCAGCTGTTTATGTGCCATGCATGCTCAGTCCAGCCTGCAGCAAGCAAATAGCACTGTATACATCCAAACACTTGAACCTTGTCTTAATTTTGCCACAGGCAAAATCAAAATATCCATTGAACCAGAAAAGCCTGTCTTGCATGACCAGTTCAAGACCAGTATGACAAGCTGTGGTTGACAATTCATACAACCAGGCCAATGCAAGCTACAAACTTTTCTGAGTCCAGACAATGACTGTCAATACTTTCCACTGCATGTGCCATTATCATGCACATACATAAACCTCATCTCCAAGAAATGAAAACAGTCACATCCATACCTAATGATGTTCTCAATGGCCAGATTAAATTCTCTCTCTTGTCCTTCTGCTTCGGAAGCTGATGCTCTTTCTAACAATGCAAACCCATCTTGCATCTGATGAACCAGACCATTTGTCTGGTGGTAAAGTGCCTCCATCCTTCTTCTGGAGCTGTCTGATGACTAGCCAGGCTTAACAGAACATAAGACAAGACAAGACAAAACTTCTGGAAGTTTCTGCAACAAAAGACATTCAACATCAATGAAAAGGTAATGAGTACAGCACTACACTGAAGTCAAAGACCATTAGAAGCATCAAAGGCCCAAGGGGCTGTACAAAGGCCCCACACAAACTACATAGTTAGACACTGATACCGCCACACCAACTACCATATGGTAAAGTAGAAGCAAACATGCATCGCGTTAATGAGCTTGATAAAGCACAAAAGTTACCTTCACTTTCACGGAGGCCCATCACAACAATGCATATCTGATAACACCCAATTACATTCTAGTTTACTCTGAGTGGGAGCAAACCCTTGAACACCCTCAGCACGACTGCAACTCTTGCGGACCCTCAGTTTATTCTGAGTGAGAGCAAACCATTGAACACCCTCAGCACGACTGCAACTCTTGCGGACCCTCAGTTTATTCTGAGTGGGAGCAAACCCTTGAACACCCTCAGCACGACTGCGACTCCTGCGGACCCTTCGGCCTTGGACCCTTCGTACTTTGTACGCGGACCGCCGATCAACAGCACACCAACCTGCACTCAGTCGCTTGAACTTGAAGTGAACAGCAGGCAAAGCGAAGGCCTACTGCTACGTGTAGAGTACAAATATAACGCAGCACTGACAATAGTATTAAGCGTTTGGGCCATTAATTTACAAGTGTCGTCTGTTGCATTGCATGTGTGCTCTTCCAGCGCGCATCTCAATTTACCAAAAGTGGATTTACGATTTCGGCTCTAGCCGACGCGGATGGCCAGTGTGCTCTTAGGAGGATCGTATTTCTGACTCTTTTCAGACGAATGTAATACACCCGGCGCCACAGTAACCGCGTATTTATGCCATCGAGTCGTACCGAGCACTGCAATCTGACCAGGACTGGGTCATACCAGCCAGACACCCAAGTGAGCAATGCCACTCGGTTATTTAACAGGTCGTCCCTCCCTTGTCGAACTGGTGACTTTTCTGACAGTAGCAGCTCAAGCACCCGCTCCGTGGCGCATGTGACGAAACCCATGGGCTTGTTCTTCGGCAGGCATTCGTAGCTACAAAATTACGTGCCAACGTCTGCGTGCCTGCAGCGGCCCAGTACCTCATGCAAGGCCCAGCGGCTACAGGCAATGCCTTTTTTAGATTCTGTAAATCCATTGCAACGGGATGTGCCGCGTGCAGTGTTGGATCTTTCACGTGTTCATCACGTGAAGCCCCATATCGGGGCCCGACAGCTTTGTCGTTACTTGGTCAGCGACAGAAGCTCCTCTTACGGTTGTTATGTTTTATTATAGCATACAAACCGTACACGAGAATGTACCAGAGCGAAAAGCCCGATATGCTCCAGCCAACAGCGCGTTAGACGCGAGCTCCAGCCCTCCCGACCAACAATGCACATACTTTAGCCTCGGGCCGCTTGCACAACCACCGTTCGTCTCTCCGCCTCCCGTGCTCGACCGCGTCCCGGGAGCACGCGCCACCCCACCGGCCGCGCAACGTCGCCCTCCAGTGGCAAGCACGCCCCAACTGTGCGAGGCGCATTTGTACCCGGTCCAACACGGCCGGGCGGACCGCGCACAGCCGCCAACACGCAAGGCAGGGCCGGCGCCACACCAGCCGCGGACCAAACGGCGTCAAGCGCGCCGGCCCGTGACGTCACATCCGGCCAATCAGCGCGCAGAACGTACGCGTGACGTCAGCTCCGCAGCGCGATGGCACCGGATGTCACTACAGTGGCCTCAAGCTTCAGCTCAGCGCGGCACAACGGACGGTGACGGTCGCTCCCGGCCACGGGACGACGTCAGGAGGGGTGGACGGCTCCGTCCACGGGGGAGGGGCAGGGGACACCGGGCCTGCGGATGGCGTCAACAACCCGCCGGGTGCGGCGCCCCGCCGACCGCCGCCGCCGCTCAGTAGTCCATGGTCTTGATAAACTCGGCGGCCGAACAGAACTGCGTCCACCAGTACTGGTCCTCGCCCACCAGCCGGTCGCCGTAAAAGCTGTTGACGTACTGGATGGTGGAGAGCAGCGAGCTGGGGCACGCCTTGATCAGCACGAACACCAGCACCGGGATCAGGTCGTCGGCGGCCGGCACCGAGCGCTCGTTGGCGATGTGCAGCAAGTTCATGATGGTGGCGCAGCAGCGTGTCACGCAGGCCACCTTGTCGCGCGCCGTCTTGTAGGCGTTGAGGGCGGTGATCTCGGCCTGCGCACTCGGCCACGGGTGTTCGTAGTGATAGACGCTGGGTATCTTAAGGTCCGGGTGGCCCGGCGTGACGACCAGCGCCAGCCGCCGCATGTGGCCCGTCAGCACCTGGTCGCGGCTGACGTCCGCCTCCCCGTTTGGGTACAGCGCCAGCGTGTAGATCTGCGACGAGCGAGGTCAACGATGTCCAGGTGAGACAGATTATCAGGTACAGCAGATCATCGAGTGCACCAGAAAGTGACGTCACGGCGAAATGCCCGTAGGACGATTCAAGCGATACATTCGCCGCATGAAACACACATTCCCACAGCTTACACGTCGCCGATAGAGGCGCTCATTCACGGCATACGAGACGGACGCCTCGCTGGCAAGTGGGTGATGCAAAAACATCCTCTATTCAGAGGCACGCTCGGAATCGTTGGGCGTATCGCAGGCAGCTTCCTATATCACCGGTTAATAACCTGTCAATGAACTATAACTCGCGTTCGAAATAGTTTGCACGGTAAAACGGAACTGTTCAGCCCCCATCGTGCCTTGCATTGCACCTTCTGCACAGCAAACTGCAATCATCTTTTTCCAGCAGCTTGCAAGACACGTCATCCATACACTGTGGTTTTTACAGAAATGTCAAAGTTGTGCGCTAGTCTGCAATGAGTTTTAACTTTCCCTACACTGACGCCGGCAAGATGAACCAACGTGTTAGTGATAAAAAGGGCAAAATGTCACATGGTGCACACATGACTGTTTTCACGACCTACCGCACAGCGGAAGATGAATAAGCACGTCGCGGGTGCCTAGGACGGTCGGGCAGATGGTTGGGAAAACAACTGAACTTGCTTTTAGAAGGTTGCAAGACAAAGTTTGGCCACGAGTTGCCAGACGAAATCCCTCGGTTCTGGGACTGCAACCGGACGACTCGGGAGAGCCATTCTGCCGCCTCACAGGCATAGGGAAAGCGTATGGTGAATAACGGCATCGATTCTACGGTCGCAGCCGGATTTATGTAAGCTGCGACCTGACCCAAGATCTGGCCAATTCGCGCACCCCACCTGCGCCGTGACCACGTGCTCACCGGCCTCTCACCTGCACCGTGGGCGCAAGTCCACCGGCCCCTCACCTGCGTGTTCATCGGCTTCTCACCTGCGCCATGGCCACATACTCACCTGCGTGTTCACCGGCCTCTCACCAGCACCGTGCGCGCGTGTTCACCGGCCTCTCACCTGAACCGTGGGCGCGTGTTCACCGGCCTCTCACCTGAACCGTGGGCGCGTGTTCACCGGCCTCTCACCTGAACCGTGGGCGCGTGTTCACCGGCCTCTCACCTGCACCGTGGGCGCGTGTTCACCGGCCTCTCACCTGAACCGTGGGCGCATGTTCACCGGCCTCTCACCTAAACCGTGGGCGCGTGTTCACCGGCCTCTCACCTGCACCGTGTGCGCGTGTTCACCGGCCTCTCACCTGCACCGTGGGCGCGTGTTCACCGGCCTCTCACCTGAACCGTGGGCGCGTGTTCACCGGCCTCTCACCTGAACCGTATGCGCGTGTTCACCGGCCTCTCACCTGAACCGTGGGCGCATGTTCACCGGCCTCTCACCTAAACCGTGGGCGCGTGTTCACCGGCCTCTCACCTGCGCCATGACCATTTGTTCGATGGCTTCGCGGGCCAGGTGCAGCTGGTGGTCGTCGGCCGCCTGCCAGTCGGGGTCCCGCAGCAGCTCGTCGCCCAGGTGCGCCAGGAAGCGCGCCACCAGGTCTGTCTTCTCGTCAGAGGCGGCCGCCTGCTGGAAGCTCGCCTGGGCGGGAGTGGGGCGCCGCCGTCAGCCTGGGCGAGCGCAGCCCTCACACGCAATACCGGCGCCAGTTGACCCCTGGGTTCGGCCCCTGGGTTTGCCTCCCCGGGCTTGCTCCTGTGTTTGCTCATGCAGTGGCACGGGGCAGAGCGCGCCGGCCCACTGCACTGATGACAACGAGATGCAGTATGAAAAGGGTGGTTGGGGCCGCGTCAACTCCCTTTAATGTTGGCGCTCCTTAATGTTCGTACTGAAAAATGCCGATTCTAGCAGCCTTGCAGGACGCGCATTTTCAATATCCTCCTGTGAATACCTATCCGTTGAGTCAGGGTCTACAGTTGTCTTGCCCAGGACTGTCAGCGATAAACACAGACCAGCTAACACCAGGGAGGCCAAGAAGCGGCTCTCCAACTTCCAGCCGTTCCAGAACACAACTGAGCCCCCATTCACCGCCGACACCGACGAGTACGCGCCAGCTGCCCGCGTCGACCGTCCCCTCTGACGGCCACCATCCTCCCCTCTCCGCCGCCCACGACGGCCGCTCACCTGGAACCGGTGCACAGTCTGTTTGTGCCGCTCGAGGAAAAGCAGCACGCACTTGTCGACGAGTGCGCGCGTGCAGACCGTCTGGTCGCGGCGCACGTGGCGCACCGTCAGCTGCACGTGCGCCAGCGTGTCCAGCAGGCCGTCGCGACAGCGGACCAGGTAGGCGATGTAGGGCGCGCGGCCGCTGTAGTCTTCTCGCAGCGAGCGCAGCAGCGCCAGCTGGCCGGCGGCGTCGAACAGCGACACGCAGCGCACGGTCTCGTGCAGCTGCGCCATCAGCGCGTGGTCCTGCAGGCTGATGTACTCGGACAGCTGGAGTCGCAGGAAGGACAGCAGCGCGCCTGACTCGTCCCGGCCCGGCTGGCGGCGGAGCGGAGGCGTCAGTGGCAGCGGGAGAACGGCGGCGCCGACCCAGGGCGCTGATGCTCCTGCTATCACCAAAAAACACGTACCGTTACTGTGAACATGGCCACGAGATAACCTTGAACTCACCTTGCGTTCGCCAGACCGGTCGGGGGCATACTGCCGCAACATATGTCACGCCGCGCCCTTTCCGTCGGAGAAATCGGCCAGATGAGTGCCCAGTGTCTGACATGGCAGGAGCACAAAAATTCGACCGGCAGAACACGCCAGCGACTATGTCGCATGCCTACGGCTTATGCGCGGCCGCCAGGGGAGAGTCTCCCGCTCACCTGAGGCCACCAGAGGAGCGTCTCTGGCTCACCTGTCACCGCCAGGGGAGCGTCTCCCGCTCACCTGAGGCCGCCAGGGGAGCGTCTCCCGCTCACCTGAGGCCGCCAGGGGAGCGTCTCCCGCTCACCTGAGGCCGCCAGGGGAGCGTCTCTGGCTCACTTGTCACCGTCAGGGGAGCGTCTCCCGCTCACCTGAGGCCGCCAGGGGAGCGTCTCCCGCTCACCTGAGGCCGCCAGGGGAGCGTCTCCCGCTCACCTGAGGCCGCCAGGGGAGCGTCTCTGGCTCACTTGTCACCGTCAGGGGAGCGTCTCCCGCTCACCTGAGACCGCCAGGGGAGCGTCTCCCGCTCACCTGAGGCCGCTAAAGGAGCGTCCCCGCTCACCTGAGGCCGCCAGAGGAGCGTCCCCGCTCACCTGAGGCCGCTAAAGGAGTGTCCCCGCTCACCTGAGGACGCCAGGGGAGTGTCCCCGCTCACCTGAGGCCGCTAAAGGAGCGTCCCCGCTCACCTGAGGCCGCCAGAGGAGCGTCCCCGCTCACCTGAGGCCGCTAAAGGAGTGTCCCCGCTCACCTGCGGCCAACAAGGGAGCGTCCCCGCTCACCTGAGGCCGCTAAAGGAGTGTCCCCGCTCACCTGAGGCCGCCAGGGGAGCGTCTCCGCTCACCTCAGGCCGCTAAAGAAGTGTCCCCGCTCACCTGAGGCCTCCAGGGAAAGGTCTGCACGTTGGCGGCGGACAGAACGCGGCGCAGTTTGCGCTTGGCATCGGAGAAGGCGTACGACGCCTCCACGTTGTTGGGGTCGATCGTGAGGCGGACCAGGTCGGCGGCTGCCTCGTCCTCGGTCGCTCCATCGACCAGCGTCGCGCCCGAGCGTGTCTGATGACGACCGACCGGCACAGGGTCACGCGCACGGCAGGTGGGAGCAGCGGGTCGCCGCTGCCAGCTGGCTCAACAGCCAGGCAGAGTCGGTGTCCTTGCACATAGGCGGTGCACGATAGGGTAACAAGGCGGCAAGCTATCAACATCACGTACGTGGTGAGTCTGGCTATAAGACTGACAAATCACGTATCCTGGGTTTAAAAGGCACGGACGAGGAAGAACCATTGTCAACGACGCCAGGGAGTCGCTGCGTACTGCTGATGACCGGCGATGGCCTCTAGAAGGACGGGGCCCGCGCAGTCACCGCGACGTCTCCCCCAAAACCGGCCTGGCTGGCGCCTGTGCGGCGACAATTAGCCTGCTACGCCAGCCACGCGACCCGCATGGAGCCCGCCACCCCGTCCGGCCGCCCTCAACCCACCAACCCGTCCGTCCGTCCTCAGACCACCACCCCGTCCACCGCCCTCAGCCAACCACCCCGTCTAGCGGCCCTCAACCCATGACCCCATCCACCCGCCCTCAGCCCACCACCCCGTCCACCCATCCTCAGCCCACCACCCCGTCCACCGGCACTCAGTCCACCACCCCGTCCGCCGTCCTCAGCCCGCCACCCCATCCACCTGCCCTCAGCCCATCACCCCCGTCCACCCGTCCTCAGCCCACCACTCCGTCCGCCCGTCCACAGCCCGCCACCCCATCCAGCCGTCCCCAGCCCACCACCCCGTCCGCCGTCCTCAGCCCGCCGCCCCGTCCAGCCGCCCTCAGCCCACCACCCCGTCCACCCGCCCCCCAACCCATGACCCCGTCTAGCCGCCCTCAGCCCGCCATCCCGTCCGCCCGTCCTAAGCCACCTGGGCGGCCGCGTCCGGCGTCTTGCGTCGGTACTTGGCCAGGATGTCGTCGGACGTCTCGGCCGACTCCGCCCCCTTCCGGTCGCCGAGGACCTCACGGCCGTCCCCGGAGCCGCGCTCCAGCCTGCCGACACGGCGAGAACGCTCGACTCGGGCAGCGCACGCCGCGCGCAGCCGGTCAAGGACTTCCTGACACGGCGAGAAGGCTCGACTCGGGCAGCGCACGCCGCGCGCAGCAGGTCAAGGACTTCCTGACGCGGCTATAACGCTCGGCTCAGGCAGCGCACATCGCGCGCAGCCGGTCAGACTTTCCGGCGCAGCACGCTACTGTCGTCCCCAACGGCTCGGCCCGTCGTCAACGGGAGACAGATAAGACAGGCCACTTCCCCACGACACGGGGGCACCGGCCGCCTCTGTACAACACCGAGCGGCCCGAGCGGCGCCACCCACCTGTCGGAGACGAGCTCGCGCGAGCCCTTGCGTCGGCTCTTGAACGGCAGCTTGAGGTTCTTGAAGAAGCCGCGGCGCGCCTGCTCGTCGGCGGCACGCCGGTCGCCGCGCTCGGCCGTCTTGTCGAAGCTGATCGACTTGGGAATGGCGCCGGTGGCGGCGGCCGGCCGCAGCGCCGGCTCCGAGCCTGCCGCACGGACGCGTCAAGGCGAGGCGGCGGCGCCGACACGCCGGGCCGCCGCACGGCTGGCGCGGCGCCAGCGTCAACGGTCTCTCGGCAGGCGACCAGACAGGCAGGTTAGGTGGCCTCTTGAAGAACGACGCATGGCAACCGCGGTCGGTAAACATCAACTGGGACAGAAGCCACGACCAACGAGACATCAGGATGGTATCAAATCATAGAAACGACAGTAGTAATAATCTTATTCCTCGGAGACAAACCAGGAGTGTTTCTTCCTGAGACGGAAGCAAGATCCTGACCTCCAACTTCGTCCTCTAGCACTGACATCTCATCAAGACACCTTGCCCCGGGGCGTCTGCCGGCGGTGGGCGGGGGCGCCGCGGCCTCTCACCGGTCGCCGTCGGGAGGGCGGGCGGCTCGGGGCCGGCCGGCTCGGCCGTCACAGCGCCCGAGCTCGGCTCGGCCAGGTCGCAGCCGCTGCCGCTGCTGCTCAACGAGCCAGCCGACTGCGGCGCCTTCGACGCGGTCGGCGGGCTGGCCGGCGGCGGCGGCGGCGGCTGCGCGGCCGGCGCCGGGGTCGGCCGCGCAGCCGCCGCCGTCGTGCGGCCGCGCTCGCGCTGCAGGCCTGACGCCGAGCTGAAGTCGGACGAGACCGACTCGCCCGACATCTGGCGGCCGCGCTCGGGCCGCGCCGCGCCGCCGCCGCCGCCGGCCGCCGGGAACGCCGGCGCGCTGACGGACGCCTTGAGCGGCGGCGACTCCGGCGCGCCGGCGGCGGGCGGTGCGGCGGCGCACTCCGAGCGCGCTGTGTCGTCGGAGCGCGCCACGCTGGCCGAGTCGTCGGCGTCCACCTCGGCCAGCCGGTCCCGCTCCGAGTCTGAGGCCAGCACGTCGGTGCTCCAGGCCTCCGAGGCCGTCTCGCTGGGCTCCAGGCCGACGCCGCCCTGGCCGACAGGCGACCGTCACCACATCAGGCGCACACAGCGACGTGGGTCCCAAACACACTGCCTGGGGTCAGGTCAGGCTGCGCTAGCGTTCAGAAGCACTAGCGTGCTGGGAAACAGCAGCACGGCGTCTTAAATGTCAAAAACGGAATATCGAGGTCTAAAAAACAGGACTAAAGGTCATTGGAGCGAAAAAACCCACGAACATCGGTTATCCGGAATCACCGTTTAAGAGCCCTGTTCAACTCAGAGGGAGACAGTCGACGCACAACAGACGCCTTGAGCAGCCCGGACGCGGGTACACCTCACTTCAATAGGCCAAACAAGCGGCACGCGACCAGTGACGCCCACTGCGCGCCCGCCGAGACGACTCTCACCGTGCAGAGCTCGAGCAGCTGGCGCGAGGTGAGCGGCGCGTCCGCCTGCTCCACCGTCTCCGTGTCGCTGGCCAGCACGTCCGTGCTCCACGTGTCAGACACCATCGACACCGTCTCGTCGCCTGGCGGCCGGACCCCGGTCAGCGGCCGCCGTCACGCCCGACCGATGCCGGCCTCGAGCGACAGCCGGCCGCGCGGAGTGGGCCCGACCTTCCCGGACGGCGTAGCCATACACGCTGGCCGACAGCGCCGGTCGACCGCGCGGAGTGGACCCGACCTTCCCGGACGGCGGAGCCATACACGCTGGCCGACAGCGCCAGCCACGCGGGCTGGGCACGAGGCCACCGGCGACCTACTGCACGGCGCACCCGATACACCTCCAGAATCCATCCAGCGAGCCGAGAGGCGAGCTCTGCTCTTGTGCCACCCCAGCTCTGTGAATCCGCCGGCCACGTCAGCCCTGCGCGGCCGCCGGCCACCCCAGCCGCCCGTACCTTCGTTGAGCGGCTTGATGTTGAACTTGCCGAACTTGTCCTCGATGACGGTGGCCGGCGGCTTGGCGGCGGGCGGCGGGTGCGGAGCGGCGCGGCCGCCGCCCGGCCGCTCGCCGCCGCTCGGCAGCGTGTCCGCCTCGTCCGTCACCTGAGACGACGGCGTGTTGCGGCCTGCCGCGCCATAAGGGGGTCAGCGGGCGGCGCACGGCGCGCTGGCGCAGGTAACACCGGCGAAGGCGGCCAGGCATCGGCGGCGATGGCGCTGGGGCGCAGGCTCAGTCGCGCTGCTTTACTTTGCAGCACCCAGCTGTCTGGTACGGTTGAGTCGGGGCTCAAAGCCACCGCAGGCGCGCTGGTGCATGGTTGGATAGCCAGCAGTTGTCGGCAGACATGACGGTAGATGCGGGGTCAAATGACTGGTAGTGCTATACATTTTCAAGATCCTAGATAGTGCTGGCCGGCTGCATCTGAAATCCAAGTCCCGGATGGTGTGCAAGGCTGGGATCGGATGCGCGCTCAAGAATTTACGTCGGCATGCAACCTCCATGAAGACAGCTCAGTTGAGATACATTCGGTTTCTCACGATGAAACCGGACGTTCTCACCCCCCCCCCCCCCCCCCCCCCCGGCTCCGTCTCAGGCGTCTCAGGAAGACTGAAACGCTCTTGACCAAAAACGCGACAGCAGAAACGGCCGAAAAGATCTGCCCGCCGGCAAGTCCTGCGCCTTGGGCTGCAGGCGCCGTTGGAGGCCGCCCCATTTGCTGTCCGTAGCTCCGGACGCCAACAGCAAACCAGCCCCTGATCCAAGCCGTCCAGAGAGCCGGCACCGGCACCGCACACGCCATGACCCCGCACCCGCCGGCCGTGACAGCACCGGCCGGCCGGGCGACTGCCAGACGCGCCGCCGGCACGTCCCGCCACCCCGCCTGCCAGCCGCACCACTCACCGGACACGTTGGGCGTCTCCCGTCCGGACACGTTGGCCGAGACCATGTCGCTGAGGTTGTCGTCCTTGTACTGCTCGGCGTCCTCCAGACTCGAGTCGTCGCTGTCGCTGACGTTGCTGGCCGCCTCTGAGATCAGCCCCCGGGGTGTCAGACGCTGCTCTGAGATCAGCCCCCGGGGTGTCAGACGCTGCTCTGAGATCACCCAGGGGTGTCAGACGCTACCATGAGATCAACCCCCGGGGTGTCAGACGCTGCTCTGCGATCAACCCCCGGGTGCCAGACGCTTCTCTGAGATCACCCCGAGGAGTCAGACGCTGCTCTGAGATCCCTCCCGATGTGTTAGACGCTGACGCCGCGACATACCACGTCCGAGGCGGCCAGAGAATCCTGCACAAGACAACCTCCACTCCGACCGTTATTCTCCCTGTCATTTCGATGTTCCTCGTCAGTCAAGACGGGCTCACACTCTCTTTCGTTCAGCCTACGGACAGACAGAAGCTCGGCAAAACCTAGAGTACACTCTAATATGCCAAGTTCATGACCCACACCCGGCCAGTCATCTCGCCCGCACTCCTGGCGCACCGAGCCCCCCAACGCCACCACAGGCCAGTGACCTCCAGATGAGTACATCTCGACTGATTGCCACTGCTGACTGGTGCCAGGATGTGTCTAGTCACCCGTGCCCGGTGCGAGCGCCTCCTCCCCCCTCTACCCCTCCGCGCGTCGCCTCACCGATGGAGCCGTCGTGGCTGAGGCTCGCTCGCGTGCGCTTGCCGGCCGGCTCGGGCCCCGAGCTGGACACCTGGCTGGCGGCCTCGTCCGGCTCGGCCGGCGCCGGCCCGTCCAGCTCCAGCAGCGTCCGGCCCGGCCGCTCCTCGCCGCCGGCGCGCAGCACCTGTCCGACGGGCGGCGGGTCACCGCAGGGTCACGGCAAGGTCACGGAACAGGTGGCACCAGCACAGGTACGGACAACGGTCGCAAGGGACAGGGGTACACGACGCGGTGGTCATCCGGCTGACGACGGCGGGACATGGACCGTGTCGGGCAGCCATCTGGCGGGACATGGACCGTGTCGGGCAGCCGCCTGGCGGGACATGGACCGTGCCAGGCAGCCGTATGGCGGGACATGGACCGTGCCAGGCAGCCGTCTGGCGGGACATGGACCGTGCCAGGCAGCCGTATGGCGGGACATGGACCGTGCCAGGCAGCCGTCTGGCGGGACATGGACCGTGCCAGGCAGCCGTATGGCGGGACATGGACCGTGCCAGGCAGCCGTCTGGCGGGACATGGACCGTGCCAGGCAGCCGTATGGCGGGACATGGACCGTGCCAGGCAGCCGTATGGCGGGACATGGTCCGTGCCGGGCAGCCGTATGGCGGGACATGGACCGTGCCGGGTTGTCGTGATGCCGCCTCATCACATTTTACAATGTGATGAACGCCCCCCCCCCCCCCCCCAAGCAACCGCACACACCAGCACCAGTACCAGCGCCAGCACGGCGGACGGGACGCGGGGGCCGGCTGAGCGGCGTCCGTCGGCAGCTGACCTTTAGCTCGCCGACCATGCCCGGGCAGACGCCGGGCGTGTTGAGCGACACCACCAGCACCTCGAGCGGCCGCTCCTCGGCCAGCGGCGCCTCCGGGCCGGCGCCGGTGCTCCGGCCGCGCCGCTGTACGCTCGTGTGCACTGCCGGAGAAGCGCGGCGCGTCAAGCCGCGGCGGCGCGGCGTCTCAGTCACCGCCGCATACGCCGAAGGGCAGCTACGGTCAGATCAGAGTTAACCATTTCGAGAGGAGCATGTGGGGGATGAGGGTGAATTCGCACGTGCTCGGCGTCAACAATGAAAAAAGTCTGCAGCACGGCTGACTTAACGCCAATGTCAGACAACGCGGCAACGTAACAGTCTGCCTTTAAAATGGATAGCCGCGCAGCGTACAACAGCACGAGCTGAACCCGAGACGGCGTTGCCGGCTGACCTCACGCCCCCCCCCCCCCCCCCCCTGTCACACGTCCTCCCCTCTGACCGGTCAGCAGCGCACGGCCCACCTTTGTCCAGTATGCGGCTGCGGCGGCTGCCGTGCTGGCCGTGTGGCGACAGGCCGGGGCTCGGCGAGGCGACGACCGGCGGCGTCGGCGGCGGCGGCTCCGGCGCCGGCAGGTGCGCCGTCAGCCCCTCCAGCAGCCGCTGCTCGGCCGGCTCCGAGGTCTCGGCGGCCATCTGGCGCAGCAGGCCCACCTGGCAGCAAGGCCCAGCGTCAGAGGTTCGCCTCGCCAGCGATAGGTAGCGACCGGTTCACGCGGCCAACGCACTCGCCACGCCTCCGTGGTGGCTACCGACTCAGCAAATGAGAGGGCGGGATACCGCGTGATCTGAGCGTGACTCACCGGGGGCAGCCCGCCCCCTGCAGAGCGGCAGGGTCACCAGCTCCTCAGAGAGGGTAGGCCGCCACCCAGCGCGCCAGACGATAGGTACCACAGGCTTCTCCGGGCGGACTCGGAGGACGGTGCCCGGCTCACTAGATACGGTGGCTCCCCAGGCGCCCCACACGTCAAACGCCTTCCGCCCGTCCGACGGACGCGGTGCGAACCTCCCCCAAGTGCCGGAGGGTCCCCTCCCTCCACTCAGGACGCCGGCGCCGCCTCACCAGGGGGTCTAGGTGGTCCCGGGTGATCAGCACGGCCGACCGGCTGAGCCCGACCAGCCGGCTCTCGTGCTGGAGCGGTCCGGCCGGCCGCGTTTCCTGCTCCGCGGGCGGGCCCTCCTGCGGCCCGCCAGTCAGAATGCAGCCCAACAGTGACGAGACGCTGCCCTGCGGACGGCGGCGGAGACGGCACCGCGTCAGACGGCAGACAGCCGACGTCAGCAGGAGAGGAAAGGTGACGTCAGCAAGAGAACACGTGACGTCAGCAGAGGAACACGCCAGGTTAGCAGGGGAGGATAGGTGACGTCAGCAGGGGAACATGTGACGTCAACAGGAGAACACGTGACGTCAGCAGAGGAACACGCGAAGTTAGCAGGGGAGAATAGGTGACGTCAGCAGGGGAACATGTGACGTCAGCATGAGAATGCATGGCGTCAGCAGAGGAACGCGCCAAGTTAGCAGGGGAGGATAGGTGACGTCAGCAGGGGAACACATGACGGGAGGGGAAGGGGGAGGGGCGGCTCGTGGCATCGCGGGACGGCCAGGTGGCCAGGGTTGGTGAGTTAAGTCATTGAATAACAGTATATGACTAAAGCCATCTGGAACGTCTGATACTGGCTGAAGTTTTGATTAGATAAGGACCTCTCACCCTAGCCTGAAAAGGCGGGCACCGCGGGGATAAAAGCCCGCCTCTGGCTTCCCACGCCTCTGGCTTCCCAGGCGAGCAGCTAAACTATTGCATAATCAATACTCTTGTTACAAAAGTGGTTTTAACAGCTAACCTTATTTTTGCGTTCATGACTTTGTAAATATCCCCCTCGAATATATATGGGATAAACGCACCAAAAATGTACTATACATTTCGCGCAACTAGCAAATTGCTTTTCTAACTGGGTGGACATACGAAACCAAAACAGCTTCCTTCCAGTGAGAATACTGCAGTACACCCAACAAATGTGATACTTGGGGTAACTCAAAGTCTAGACATTCGCAAGTGTCTAAGTTCTGAGGAGGAAGAATGACGAACAAAAGGTTAAAACAACTGTTGCGGGTTCCCCGGTCAACGGCTGTCCCAAGTTTGCGTAAGACCTAAAATTACACTCGCAATATTAGAGCCTCTACCTACCGACAAAGTCAAAGATAACATCCTAACCCAATGTGCATAACTCGGATGCTTTCATACACGCACGTGGACATTACCCGTAGGCCACCCAAACGCGCTCTGCCGACATCAAATTCTTCACTATGACATCATTCCCCTTAAACTGCCGAAAGCTACGTACTTCGCCCCTGTTCAGGAACACCATCAACCTATTCATCAACCTACATTGTATATATATATATATATATATATATATATATATATATATATATATATATATATATATATCAACCAACCTGATATTGAAATAAACGCCACTAATCACATCACTTCCTTATCCAACATTTGAAACATCTCGAGATCCCTCACGCTGAAGACCCAGAGGAGGGTTCAATCCAGCAAATACCAGTTATAAGCGGTTTTAATCGATACAGCCCTTGGCTCGGCGGTATGCCGCGCCCACCGTGCTGAACACGGCATCGAGTTCGATGGCATGACACGACACTGCGGCGGACTGCAGACTGATGTGAAGACATGCCTCCACGGGGGGTTCCATTGCTCTGCAATAATGAAAGCAACTGAAATTTTTACCCCAACGCTGAATTGGTGCACAGTGACCGCAGCTGTCGCTGGACCCCGCATCCTATTTATCGTCGGGCCCAAGGCCTGAGGGAGGGTTTGCAGCACACGCTGGCGGAGCGCGCGTGCCGTGGTGCTCACCTTGTCGAACCTGTCGTAGAAGGGGCGCAGGCGGGGGTCCACCTCCTCCCACTGGTTCATGGCCAGCACCTGCAGGATCTGGCCCACCTGCGGGCCAGCCAGCGGGGGCGCGGTCACGCACAGGGCACCGCTGGGGGTGGCGGTCGCCGCGGTACGCTGCCATGACCTTGCACGCATCGGCGATGCTCCACTGACGACACGCCGGTCAGGACACGTGCTCCACACCCGGCGCGAGCCGTGGACAAGCAGCGAGGGGTGGCGGCACAGCCGGCAGCTTCCGCAGCCCGAAGCACAGCTAAGTCTGAATTGCATGGACACAGCAGAACGGTCATATCGGTGGCAAATTGGGACCCACGTTATGTGGCGTATTTGCACCACTACCTGGGCACGCCATGCACGGATGCTGACCTTCCTTGACTACAGCCCCGGCTCGCCCGTCCCGCACCCCTGGCCGCAACTCCGGCCGACCCGTCCTGCACCCCTGGCCGCAACTCCGGCCGACCCGTCCTGCACCCCTGGCCGCAGCTCCGGCTAACCCGTCCCGCACCCCTGACCGCAACTCCGGCCGACCCGTCCTGCACCCCTGACCGCAGCTCCGGCTGACCCGTCCTGCACCCCTGGCCGCAGCTCCGGCCGACTCGTCCCGCACCCCTGACCGCAGCTCCGGCTGACCCGTCCCGTAGCCCTGGCCGCAGCTCCGGCTGACCCGTCCCGCACCCCTGAGCGCGGCTCCGGCTGACCCGTCCTGCACCCCTGGCCGCAGCTCCGGCTGACCCGTCCCGCACCCTTGACCGCAGCTCCGGCCGACCCGTCCTACGCCCCTGACCACAGCTGACCTGGATCAGGTTATGCCGCGCCGCCGGGCTGACGGGGGCCTCCAGGATGCCGTACTGCACGGGGTCCACCACCGCTGGACAGATGAAGAACGCGAACAGCAGGTCTACGCAGATGGCGTTCACCTGCGAGCGGACGGCCGTCACCGCGGCGCCAGCGTCAGCAGGGGGCGCTGCCAGCCGGGGAGCGACGGCGGGGGCACAGGGGGCGCACGCCGCGAGCTGTTCACGCGTGCCAGTCGTAAATCCGGCGGACTGGCTCCCATTATGCATGCTGTGCCCCGGCGCAGTATGAAAGGTAGCCAGGGGTGGGCTGGCCAGTCACGGCCACCTAGGCTGCCGGTCTGAACTGCACGTGAGCGGTGTCATCCATACGTCATCACTCTATAGAACGCACTGTCACCCGTGCAGCCAGTTTGCAATGAACACTGGAACCCCTGCAACGCCAGACTGTAACCACTGCTGCCTGCGCTGCCAGTCTAGAAGGAACACCGCTATATCTTCCGAAATACACAGCGATACCCATTCATGTGTATGAGTCTACATAATTCACATTGGTTCACGTGTGTTTTCCAGCTGCAGTGCACAATGCCACCTGGCATCCTATCCGCTTTCAATACATGGTGCTCCTGACACTGGCGGCTTAGGCGGCTTTGCAGACTGACAATTTAAATGCACACTACCTTCCGTGTGCTGCCAGTCTGTGATGTACAATAGCGTCCACGTTCTATCGTTCATATTCCGAGTGATACCAGCTTGTAACGCACGCGTCTTCCTGGGGATCGCAAGTCTGCGAGGTAAACTATGAACTCGGCCTAGTACTGACGCCGTGCCGCAGTACCGCATCATGACTACAGCCCGGCACCGGTGTCCGTCCAGCAGACTCCTTCCGCTCGTCCCGTTCCGTTCCGTTCCGTGCCGTGCCGTGCCGTGCCGTGCCGTGCCGTGCCGTGCCGTGCCGTGCCGTGCCGTGCCGTCCCGCCCCATCCCACCCCGCCTCGCCCCGCCCCGCCCCGCCCGCTCACCTGGTCGGCGCTGCAGCGGTCCTCCCTGACCAGCAGGTGGTACAGGGTGCGCACCACCCACGACAGGCTGGGCGGGAAGCAGGCGGCGTTGTCGGCGATGTGCGTGACGAAGCGCTCGGTCAACCGCGCCAGCCGGTCAGCCACGGCCGCGTGGTAGCGCGCGCGGCCGTCGGCGCCGCCCACCGCCGGCCGACCCAGCCGTGCCGTCCGTTCCTCGGCCGACAGGCCCTCGTCCACCTGACCGGGGCAGAGACTGGGTCACGGCGGACCGGGGGCTCCTCGGCCGACAGGCCCTCGTCTACCTGACCGGGGCAGAGACTGGGTCACGGCGGACCGGGGGCTCCTCGGCCGACAGGCCCTCGTCCACCTGACCGGGGCAGAGACTGGGTCACGGCGGACCGGGGGCTCCTCGGCCGACAGACCCTCGTCTACCTGACCGGGGCGGAGGCTGGATCATGGCGGGCCGGGGGCTCCTCGGCCGACAGGCCCTCGTCTACCTGACCGGGGCAAAGACTGGGTCACGGCGGGCCGGGGGCTCCTCGGCCGACAGGCCCTCGTCCACCTGACCGGGGCAGAGACTGGGCCACGGCGGGCCGGGGGCGGGGGTCCTCGGAGGCTGCGCCGGCACGAGGGGCGGGAGACGGGCTTCTGCCCCTCCCTGCACCGGTCAGATGGGCTTCTCACGGGGAGTCGAGTCAGGCGGAGCCACGACGGTGGGAGCCGTTCGCATACATGTCGCGTGTCCTAACCGGTTCCGACAAGGTTGACGGCTCAGGCGGTATTTCTCAGCACCCAGCACACATTTCCTGCCGGCGCCGCACTTGCCTTGTTGGGGTCGATGTCCAGGAACCACTCGTCGTCCATGAGCAGCTGCATGACGGGCTGATGAAGAGCGGCGGTGAGGAACAGCTTGGCGGCGAACAGCCCCTCGCAGAAGGCCTTGTAGACGCGGCTGAAGACGCACGAGCCGCGCCGTAGCAGCCGCTGCGGTGCCTCGGCGCACACCACCTGCGTCACCATCAGCTGCCGCAGCACCTGTCACGGAAACGCCGTCAGTCATATCAGCAGCACCTGACGGGAAGACGCCGTCAGCCACATCAGCAGCACCTGCCACGGAGACGCCAACATCAACAGCACCTGTCGGGGAGACACCGTCAGCCACATAAGCAGCACCTGTCACGGCAGCGCCGTCAGTCACATCAGCAGCACCTGTCACGGAGACGCCGTCAGCCACCTTGGTGTGCGCTGGCACGCATGGGGTGGCGCGCCGCGGCCGGGTCCGCGCCGCCACCTGTCACCCGCCCACAGCAGGCACGATTATCGGAGAGTTCGCCAGACACCAGGACAGGGCATCTGGCACAAGGAAAATGATGGTCGGGATGACAACGCGGTAGACAAATTCGCGGGCTAATCATCATCGCGATCAAAGGCGCCCTCAGGCTATTCGGCGGTGCTCGTGCTGAAGTCCAGCGCATTGTCAGATGTTGCAATCACACCCAGAACAAACATGTGTTAACTCTTCCCTGCTTTGTGAAACTCGCCACAGCACATAGGTGGGGCTTCGGATCGCTTTGGGGACCCTAGCACTCATGTTATGCTCCTACAATGTGGGGCCAACCTGCCCGAAAGGAGCCGAAGCGTCAAAAACTTTGTGTGTGCACATACATGGCCACATATATACAGCAGGTACTTTTTGGAAAGTTGGCCTCAACTCCTCCTCCCCCTTCACTCCCTTCCTCCCGTTGTAAGACGTTTCATGACCCACGTTTTGACCCGATACCGGAAGCCCGCAGCACAAACCAACAGTGAATGCCCAAACCCAGCAGAGCACCAGAGGGCGTTGTTGTCCAGATGGCCCGTCTTTCCTCGCCATGTTATGGACGTTCATCTCGCGGGTGTTGTCTCAAACCAATCCAGGACAGAAGCCTGATGAGCCAGGGCTCCACTCCCACTCCCCATGAGCTAGCCCCACTCCACAGTCTGACCCGCCTCCGATCACACGGCGCCAGTTCGGCCGGAAGAGTGCCCGGCTGCGGCCCGGCAGTCGGACACCAGCGGCGGCGTACCTGCAGCACGCTCAGCTGGTCCTCCTGCAGGATACAGTTGCCGTAGACACCCGAGTAGATGGTGTCGACGAGCGTGGTGACCTGGGCAGGGTCGGAGCGCTCGCCGAACAGCAGCAGGCGCGCCACCAGCGCAGGGTTGCTGCGCAGCTGCTGCAGCAGTTCCGAGTAGAAAGGGTCCTGAGGCGCGGCAGCAGCCCAGTCAGACGCTGCGGGCTAGCCTCCCCAGCTGGTACTGTCATTCTCCATATACAAGGCATTCATGCCCTGGTTTTGTCTCAAAAAAGCCCATCACTACATGTGCAAGGCTTTCATTCCAACCCATTAAGATGGGCACTAAAACATGTAATTTATAAGTAAGCAAAATAGCTGCATGAAACATTTATCTCCATCAGCCCCCACACAGGATAAGACATGTGAGGCGGACAGTGGCCTCAGCAGACAACTTACAATGGGCCCCAGCTGTCTGTAGCTGTCCACAAACTGTGCCGACTGCAGGTGCGAGTCACGTCGGCAGCAGACTGCTGGCGTGATGCCAGCCCGGGACAAGATCAGTCCCTCCAGGTTGATCTGTTGCTGGCGGGTGATCCATGACAAGTGGTACAGGTCCTCTACAGCTTTCATCACCTGTTGACAATGTCATGTACAGAAAAAACACAATGTAGAAGGATGCAACCATACCAACCATAGGAAGATGGTAAATGACATGGCAAAATGCCATCAAAAAGTGTAGTTAAAAGAGATGTATGCCTGAACCTTTGAAGCCAAAGATCAAAGATGACAAACAACCTTTTTTACCACTAATTATCTTTGCTGTACACAACACATCTTGGTTGCAATGAGAAAACATTCAGGTTGAAGTCTTACCAACATTACCCACCTTTTTGTTCAAGTCTTGTATCTGTGCCTTTTCTGACTCCACAAACAGTTTTTCTTTTCTCAGACATTGGGACAGTTCTAACAACTCCATGTAGGGAGTTGCCATCTTACTGTCACTATACTGAAATAAGAATTGAATCAGTTCATTTGCAACATAAGCTATTCATTCTTAAGCTTTCATACACTAAGACTTTGCATGAGACAAGTTAGTGTTAACATATTAAGATCCATGTATATGTACAAGCCAACCTATCTTCCACATTTTATATTTATATAGCAAGAATATATTGTAGCAATATTGCAAAAGTAAAACCAAAGCATAATTTGATCAATTAATTTCAATGCCAGGAACATAGGGAACATGCTCAAAGACAAAAATTCACTGCAAAACCATGCCTTTTAATGTACTAATCCAAGACAATGGAAAGGGCTGTGGGATATGACCCCACCTTATCAGTAAAAACAGTCCCAAATTACAGTGTGCATGCACTACACAGGTTGGCACAAAACAGCATCTGTGCCATGCCAGTATAATTTATGACAAATAATTAAATGCTTTATATCATGCAACTAAAGTGAGCAATACAGGCTTTAAACTCCTGTTTTTCCAGGACATATTGTGCTCTTATATCAAAATACGGCCTTTGCATCACTAGAATGTGAATTATTCACTAAAAACATTGTGAAATATGGGAACTTCAAATTATAGTCAAACATTAATGCTGAATGTCAACAACAAGCTACTGGCACACTAAACCTGGCAGCCTTTAGCATAAAAACTTCGGTCAATGGATAACACAAGCAAGAAACAGAAATGTCATGATATGCTCCTATACATGCCCCCAACCCTCACACTCAAGGACAACATTGCAGAATGCAGATTCAGGTGGTAATGCATGTCAGCCTTAAAGATCTGAGAGCAATAGTTCCACACCTGTTCAAAGTCAATACCAAAATAAAGTGCATTTGGTTCATCAAGTATCTGCAATGGTAACATAAATGCTGATGCAAACCACATGCTTAGAGCAATATTCTGCTGTTGGTGCTGGATGGCTGCTGGTGGATTATGAGCAGTGTCAGTATGTGTAGGGAGCTGCTTGCCACATCAGTGCATACATCCACACCACAATCAGGATCATGCAGGAAATTGTCATCTAACCATGCCAGTGCTATCACTGGTGCTAATGTTCTCTTTTGTTTGAAGTCCCAGAATACAGAAAGCTTTTTCATAGGTCCAGAGAATGCCCAAAACATCTCAAACATAAAAACACTGAATTTTACCCTTTCTTGGACAAGAATAAACCATGTCATACAACTTGGAGCTATTAGTTCATCATGTGCAAACCATAGCGGCCTAATAAGCAGCACATCAAATGCAAAATTAAGAAGGCACACATGGCATAAACATAATTAAACAGCAAACATGACATCAGGCGTGTTTAATCCAGGGAGACGTAGCATTTTATCGTGCTTGCACCTGCCATGCCGAAAGTACGATGCCTTATTTCATCTATCATGCATTATATTTCAATTAAACTCACATAAAAGTTTGATTTCAGTTAGCTCTTAACAGTTGATCGAGAAATGATCATGCCAAATAGCGCCACCGCACCCCAACGCCCACGGGCCATACCACTCACGCGCGGGGGGGGTCTTTCCTTACGGAATCAGGAGCGGAAAGTCGCCGGACCGATCCCGCACGTCTCATCCGCGCCTCTTTCCCAAGGTCTCCTTGAAGGCAAGGCACCAGAAGCAAAGAAAAAAGAGCACTGACGGTTCTGAGTCAGGAATGTAACAGGTGCGCCACTTACCATTCATGTCAACACCACGCGCAACATAATATGCCCTTGACGTCAATCACTTGACGCAGGCAGTTGGATAGGGGTCGCTGGGTGCTTAGCGAGGGATTGTGGCGGCATTTATTTAACTCAACTTTTAAAAGGTGAGGTTGATGTGTGGGCTTTAAGTTGGAGCTTGGGTGAAGTGGAAATGTCACGTAGCAATGACGCTAGTAGTCATATGCATAGTATTGGTCTCTTGACCAAATCGAGGTGACGGTTGACTGGTATTCCCAAGGTCTACCTGCTACATGTCAATGTTTTGATTTTACCTATTCCCATGATGTTGATCTTTTTTTGTGCTGCAGCTGTTCACTGCTGTCTTTTATGGATAGTGAGTGGTCACTCATTCATGACATCTGCATCATACCTTCCCTTTCCTGTTGACTTCATGCCTGCTCATTTTTATCTTCCAGGAGCATATGTCATGTTGATTAGACTTTTGTGTATGTATGATTTATGTTGTGTATTGATTTATTACTGAGGTATGCACTCTATAAAGTACTTTGTCAGGTTGTGCTTGGTGGTGCACTTCCTGATTCACTTACTTGAATCATTAAATGGTAGAAAATGTTGAACTATTAAGTGGTTTAAAACCTGTTGAAAAAATATCATGCTGCTCTGTCAAAATAAATGTTTTGAGTTTTTCATTGAAAACCTACCAAAAGCAATTAAAAACAGCAAAAAATTATATCAATTTTGAAATGCATTATGTGGTGTCCATTGCTGGCAATGTTTCACATGAAACTGTCAGGATACTATGCTGCATAAAGGTCAGATAGCAAGGAAGATGAAGACAGTTGCTAATTGGTTAAAAAGCAGTTGTTCATTGCATGTGATGCACCAAAATATAATGTAGATGTGGGTCAAATATGTTATCTGTATATCTAAATGAGATCTAAATATAAGTCAAACATATTATCTGCAATGGATACCATATGAGTATTATCATTAGCTCACCTATATCAGTATTATCATTAGCCCAAATTATCATCAAATATGCTGTCTAGGTATTGTCCACTTTATTTGCATTATGTCTTGATAAAGATTGAGTTTAACCTAAATCTAGCATTTCATACCCAGCATCCAGAGGCTGTAGGCTGATGGGTCTGGACTCTGGAGCCTCATTGTTAGGTAGAATCCAAGAAAATATTGTCAGGTTGAATTCCAAGAACAAATTCCATAGGTAAGGCCAGCTTTTTGTGCCAGTTATGATGCTCTGTGATAATTATGCAGCATTCTGGTGAAGTATCAGATCATCAACAGCAGGGAGCAAAATCTGCATCAGGCTTGCAAAGGTTTTGCAGCTGGTTGTCCTCACCTGTTAAGCTGGAAGGCATGACCAGTTTGCTTGCTCAGCACAGCCTACCATGAATTTGGGATGTTTATTATGCAATGAAAAGAGCCTGCCTTTTTGGAAAGCTCAGTTCTGTCTGACCCTAACTGAAGCACAACCCTGGTCCCATGCATACCAACTGGCATAGTTTGCTAGCTATGTTTTGCTAGCATGGCTTGCTACCCTTGTTTCTGCTTATAGCTTGCTACCTTTGTTTCTGCTGGTGTATTTTGCTGGCCATCTTTTTGCTAGCATAGCTTGCTAGCTACATTTTTGCTCATATGGCTTGCTAGTTTGCCAGCTATGTCAGCTATATTTCAAGCACCACTTTTCCTCTTTCAATTACCATGTTGTAATTGACCATTTTTCATTTGTTCTGTCTGCCATGCCATGCCCTATCAGAGGAGACACTGAAGTATTTAATTGTACATAGATGCATCAGTTTTGGTTAAAGGAATCTTGATAATATACTGAAGAAATGTGTCATGCAGTTTGTATCAATCATGCAAATGTTTTCACAGGTGTAATGACATTTTTTCTTTTGATGTAGCTATGTGTTTAGCAGTTATTCAACCGTCCAACAGTCCGGTGCATGGATCTAGTGCCCTGTTTTCAGAGGGTGCGCTACCATTCCCTAATATACAAATGGCAAGGACTGAAGCTAATTAATACATCAGTTAAGGAAACCAGCAGTAACCACCATTCTGCCATCCAAACAATGTCTTGAAAGACATTGTGGGTCTGCAGCATCACACAGATACTATCAGCAGAACAGTGCAGCCAGAAAGAGGCAGATGGGCCTCCTGGCTAAGGCATTCTGAAGGAATGGTCTAAGGGCCAGACAATCATTAGCAAGTTTCATTTGCATTTTAGTCATTTCAGGAGAGATAAAACAATTGGGAAATAGCTTGATGGTCAGGTAACATCAAAGGGAAGACAAACTGACTGCCGGGCATTGCAGCACATTAAACTCGTGTCACCACATTCTGTAGTTGATCTGGAATTGCACAATGGGATGGTTGGTGCCAGGATCAAGCAATGTGTATAATGCACTCTGATCCCAGAAATCCATTCATTGAAAAAATTGCCTTAAATGTAGACAAAAATATTGTGGACCAACAGATACCCCAGCCAGGGGCAGCCTGAGTGCAAACCATTTGTGGTTATGCCATCCCAATACAGCTGAGGCATGGCTGGTGATGTTGAGAATCTGTGGACTTCACAGTATAAGAGTCATCTGCAGAGGCAGCTGGGTGCCATGACAGACCATTGCTGAAGTCAGATCATGGGCACCAATGAGAATACAGACAGCTGCAGGTACAGCATCCCTGCTGCTGCTGAGGCAGATCTTTTTTTAAAAGAGATGCCAGTTGTCCCAGAATGCTGGAAGTCTGAGAGTTCAGAGAAGCTGCACCCATGATACAGGCTTTGCGCTTTCTTGCTCTCTGTGGCGTGGTGCATAGATCGTCGATGCATAAATTACGCAGTAAGGGGTTTGAGACTCAACACCACCAGAAACAGCTGGGCTTGAGATGTGGATGTGCATTATGAAGGACTATGTGCCAAACATTCTCAACAACAGTGTCAACACAACACAACATCAACAACAACGCTGTCACCACCGCGCGCACAGCAGCGTGCGGTCCGCGGTGCGATGGCGTCACCCGGCCACTGTCTATTTGCAGCACATCTTCCGCCACCATGTCTGACGACTGGGACAAGGTGGTGGTGCTTCGGAAGAAGGCGCCCAAGGCAGCTCAGATGAAGTCGGAGGGAGCTGTGAACCAGGCCATCCGGTCCGGCATGGCCGTGGAAACGCAGCAGAAATGTAAGCTGCGGTTGAAGCAGCGCCCCAAAAGGCCGTGATTGTTCTGCTCAGAGTCCGTCGGGTCGGGACCGGGGGTGTTATTTTCTGTTGGACCCAGCACATGACCGGCCCACAAAGCATTCAGGTAGAATGTTGGCATCTCCCTTTCCCAAGATGTGGCACGTGCAGGTGTTTTTTTTTTGTATGTTTAGCTTTGTTGGTCATTTCTGCGATAGTTTTTAGGACGTAATTATAATCTTACCTTGGCGAATGTAAGTAGGTAATCATTAAAGTCATCCTGTATGCGCTATACGTGAATGATGGTTGCCTTCTCAGGCGGACTCTCGGACCTCCCCCCCACCAGCAAACTGTCAAGGGTGTTTGTGACAGAAACCGACAACAGTTATACGCCCACGCGCCCACGTACACTCACAACAAATGTCGTATCGTACAGCTACGAAACAGCTGTCAGCATTCGAGGCTAGCAGTGACGATTCATTTTGGTGCGCGAGTGATCAAGGCTGTTGTGTGATCATGGTGTGAGTGACGCGTCACTTTAGCCTCACATCATTGATCATCGGCGTCTTCACCAGTTGCATGCCGCTTTCGTTTTCCCTCCGCGCTTGCAGCCATCCGCTCACGCTTGCAGAGAACGTCAGATGACTGGTGGATCGTTCCACCCACGAGCTCAGAGCGTCGCCAGTCGTGTTAACCAAACAGACTTACTCTTTGTCAGTACACGTAGCGTGAGCATACGGCAGTGTGACCTAGCGCAAGCTTACGACAGTGTGACCTAACGTGAGCATACGGCAGTGTGACCTGGTGTAAGCATACGACAGTGTGACTTAGTGTAAGTGTACGGCAGTATGACCCAGCACGAGTGTACGACAGTGTGACCCAGCACGAGTGTACGACAGTGTGCGCATCTCTGGACGCAGATAACGCCGGCACGAACAAACAGCATGTTGTGACGAAGAACACAGCCAAGCTGGACCAGGAGCACGACGAGCTGAAGCATAGTAAGGTGTCGCTGGACGTTGGCAAGCTGATCCAGCAGGGCCGGCAGGCCAAAAACCTCTCCCAGAAGGAGCTGGCCACCGTGAGTTTCCGGCGCCGTAAGGTGTGACGTTTCCGCGACGCATGACGTGTGCTGTTTCCCGGATGGATTTTCTTCATGGATTGGAGGTGCCCCGAAAGTTTATTCAGGCTGTGTAGTGGGTTTTTGCGTTGTCGGAACAGCGTGTCGTTACGCTCAGGTGTGGCTGTATATCATGTTCAGATCTCGGAACTATGTGTTAAAAGCGCAGCCAGGGGATTCTCGCTCAGCGCAGCGGGTACGTAGCAAGCGGCAAGGGTTGACGTAGGGCCAAGGTGCGCACCGTAAACTGTAATCGGCCCCGCTGTGGCCTTAGCAGTCGGCCTGGTTCCGGCAAGTTGGTGCAGAGTCATCTCGGTGATCTCAGTTGTAAGATGGCTCGAACCCATGAGAAATGTTATTTACAGGCTATTTACCAGGCCGGTGTGTTTAAAAAAAAGAGATTAAAAACTCAGTGACAAATCCTTCCAACACGTTTCAGAAAATCAACGAAAAGCCGCAGATCATTCAGGAGTATGAACAAGGCAAAGCTATTCCCAACAATGTCGTCCTCGGAAAGGTGGAGAAGGTGATCGGTGAGTGTCCCTGATATGGCGCCGCTCCGCGAGGCAGCCATCGCCCTGGCGAAGTGTGCTGATGTCCCGGCGCACCGTGTCCTCCGCCTG